GTTTGGGTTTACTTTAGGTTTTGCTCAATAAAGTTTTTTTTTTTTAAGTTGTTTTTTTTACTTCCATTGCTATCATCTCGGCCTGACTTCCTCGGAATCAGCCCACTACGTACCAGGAGTGTGTGTGAGAGGTGATGGTTGCTTTTTGTCTCCCAGCCTGCACACCTGCAGCTCATGGGAAGGCATGGTTTGTTTCTGGATTCTCTTCCCATTCCCCATGGTGGTTGTTCAATGAAGTTTGGTGTTTTGTGTGTAGACCTCTGACACATTATGCACACCATTCAATGCCTGCCATTTGCCATGTTTTGATGCCATTGTAAGCGTTGTAAAGTTTTAATTTCATGTGTAGAAATGTGTGATGGTGGTACCTTTGTCAAAATGAGTTAACTGTATACACGTGTATTTCTGGGCTGTCTTCTGCTTCCTGGTTTATATGAACGCTATGTTTCAGATGGAGAATGTCCTCCAGGGGCCCCAGGGCCTCAGAGGCTGGGCTCAGGAAACTGAGTGGATCCTGGGGGCAGCAGTAGCTGACGACACCCAGTTGGGGTGGCCCCTGATCTGCTTGCTTGTGTTTGAAGTGAGCACCATGTGGCACCTGCTCTCTCTCTCTCTCTCTCTCTCTCTCTATATATATATATATATATATATATATATATATATACATATATATATACATATATATATATATATACATATATATATATACATATATACATATATATATATGTATATATATTTGGTACTGAGGATTAAACTCATACCTTGCACTTGCCAGGCAGTCACTTATGCCACTGAGCTCAATCCCCAGCCTCTAAATAGATATTTATATTGATATATAACGCATATATTATCACATAAATACATGTTTATGGAGTTTATAACATTATATTATAGTATAATTATATTATGTAATGTATAATCTAATATAATATACAAAGGAAATATACATATTCCTGTGTATATATTTATGGAGGTTATCATATAATATATAATATATAAATACATTTGGCCTACATTCCATTTGATTCCTTTTATTGCCTTTCAGATGGACTATCCTATTTTAACTCCTTATCAAGAGTTATACACATTTTCTTTTTGTATGTGACTCCTCTAGAGATACAATAATCATCTTGAGGTATCACAGTGGTAATAGTGGTTGATTCTTTAATCTCTACCCATAAAATGTAAAAACCTTCCATCACTTTTACTTCAGCCCATATACTGTTATTGCAAATTTCAGTTTCTTCATATGCTTTTTAAAACTTTTAAATTTTATTTAAAGTTTTTTATTTTTAAAAAGCAAAACAAAAAAGAGTAGAAATAATACAGAATTTAAAAAAACATAACAGTAACAAATTAACACTAGCTAATATATTACATTTGTTATCTTCTATGCTTTTAAATTTATAATGTGTAATTTTAAAATATTGTATAGAGTCAATATTCATTAATATTTGCATGCTTCTGCCAGTTTTGTCGATTTTCATTGCCATGACATAACATTCTAAATAAATTAAACCCCCCAAATAAAATAACATCCATAAAACATTTGTAAAGATTTCCATTTCACACAAGTGAAGTTTGGGCTTTAAAAGTGTTACACAATGAGCATTCTTTTCTCTTTTGGTACCGCTCCCTGAACATGTCCTATGTATTCTTTTTTTGTCCTATATATTCTTAAGGAGTGCATCGCTATTCTTCCTTCCTTTCCATCCGATCCTGTGTCCAGCGCTACACTTATATCCCGCAATGCAGTTAGCAAGCCACATAATTCACCCTCGTGAATGAGGGAGGGTAAAAGTGATGAGACAGTGTCACACTGCAGCCCATAAACATGCAATTACCACTGCCAATTAAGAACACAAAGGGCTTGATCAATGGGCACTAAGTTGCAGGAAAGGAGTAAGAAATCTGCTGTTTTTAGGCGGTGATAGGCAACTGCAGTGTAGTGTGCATTTCACACAGCTAGGAGAAAGTAGAGAATTTTCACCAAAAAGAAAAGATAAATGTTCTAGGAGGTAGCTATATTCAACTTGATGTATATCTATCATACATGAGACACCTACTGAAATTTCACATGGAGTCTTGTCATAGTAATATGTCAGTAGCCCCCAAGCCGCGTGCAATTAAGGGTTTGTGATTGGTTCATCATCTAGGGCTTGGATTGGTGGTGTCAGTGCTGTACCCGCCCGCCTAGGGGTGGAGCCAGGTTATGCTGTCAGGACAGGAGGAAGGTGTGTCTCCCTCTTGCGTATTTCCGCCTTGCTGTTTGCAGCTGCAGTGAACTGCAGCACCCCCCACGCAACCCTGCCTTGTAGCCCACTGAGATGGACTGAAACCTCCAAGAACTGTAAGAAATAAACCTTTTCTTCCTTCATTTTGGGTGTGGGGTATTTTGTCCCAGAAACCAATAAAAACTAAGTCAGTTCTCCTAAATACGTACTGTTTTATGTAAGCTACTGTTTTATGTAAAGCTAAATTACAATTTATTTAAAAAGACTTACGTCCCTGGTATATTGAAAAACACTATAGTGGATTAATATTCCCTCAAGAAAACTAGAAAAACAGGATCCAACACAAAAAGTAATCCTCATGCTGTTGTAAACGCTCATGCTGTTCTCATGAAAACTGATGGAGCAAGCCACAGTACACAGGGACCGAGAGTCTTGGGAGGCAAGGCAGTGGAGAGCGGAGGAGATGTGACTTTCTTTGGTGTTTTTTTTTTTTTGTGGTACCAGGGATTGAACTCAGGCCTCGCACTTGCCAGGCAGGCATTTATGCCATTGAGCTAAATCCCCGGCCCCTCTTTTGCTGTTTCTTATAGGAGGTATCGAGTTTTGCCTGAATAGGGGTTTGCTGATGGAATAGAGGGATAACTGTAACTTTCAGTGCCCTTTCTGGTCTAGAAAGAACAAAATGTAAACAGGAGCAGAGACTCTGAGCAAAGGAGGGTCAAAGAAACGATGCAGTTACATACTGATTTCTCTCCTAAGATTGCCAATCATGAAACAGGCCTGCCAGGGGATTCTCTCACAAACATGTCAGGCTGCCCATTGAAAGTCTTGGAGGATTGTATGCTACCGGAGTGTGTGTGCGTGTATGAATCTTTGTGTGAACTATCATACAGCCTCAGTCTTGGTTTGTCAGCCCAGAGAGGAGCAGGAGAGTTTTCCAGCAGAACAAACCACGAGTTGACGCTGCTATACATTTTCATACACACTTTTTGTTACTCAGTCAATCTACTAGATATTAAAGACAGGACAGGCCATATTAAAAATACTGGAAAAAATATAATCATATTTATAGTTTCAGAAGGGATCTAGTTCATTGACTTCAAACTAATAAGAATTTTAAAGTAACAGTTGCTAATCTGTTCTAGAAAAAATAGAAAACATTGGAGTAGATCAATGAACAAGAGAATTTCACAGATGAATTAGAATCTAAGAGTAGAATCAAATGGAAGGCACAGAATTGAAAGATATAATCAGTGACACGGAGAATTCAGTAAGTTTCACAGCACAGTTTCACTGAGTTTAACTTCACAGCAGACAGCATTTGTGTCTCAGAGCGAAGGGCAACACAATATGTTAAATTTAAGGAGAGAGACAGAGAGACAGAGAGAAAGAGAAAAAATGTTAGAAACATGGAACACAGTGAAAACACCTAACAAGCATACAGTTTGAGTTCTGGAAGAAAGAAAGAAGAGAAAGAAAGTCTTGCAGAAGTCATAGTTGAAGGAACCATGGCCAACAGTTTTCCAAAACTGGTGAAAATTTCAACCCAAATCTTTAATCCTATGGATATGTATACGTGGCAAATTTCCAGTGAGAGGGGCTGGGGATTTAGCTCAGCGGCATAAGCACCTGCCTTGCAAGCAGGCGGTCTTGAGTTCAATCCCCGGTACCGATAAAAAAAGAAAAAAAATTTCCAGTGAGAGAATCATAAAACAAGTCACACCTGGCAATATGATAGGCAGTCTATTGAAAACTCAAGGTAAACAGGAACAGAAAAGTCACAACATTAAAAGGAGCAAAACAATGAACAGAAGCCTTAAGCTGTCAAGGCTAGAAGTCTGCAGGCAGAAGAATCACATTGTTAAGGTAAAATACAGTAACTGTCAGCTTGGTATTCTGTACGTAGCCAAGAATTTTACAGAATGATGACAACACAAGGTTGTTTTGAAACTAACAAGCTGAGATAATTTATTATCAGTATATTTGCGCTAAAGTGAATACTCAGAGGAGCCTCTCAGCTAGCTGGGGAGGAACCCCAGAGTGAAATGATGAAGTTCAAGGAGAAATGGAGAGAAATAAATGGGAGGCATGTGAATACATCTAAACAGTGTGCACCGTCTTACTTTGCTCCGCTGGTCTGTGGAGTCCTTGGACCATATTTCATGACCACTGCCTGGACCTCTCTTTCATTCTCCCCAGCTCCAGCCTTCTTTCCTGACACATTCCCCAAGCAATGGCTCAGTGTTTGAATTGGAGAACTGAGCTTTCTTTGTTCAAAGGTCAGCCCTGTCACTTCCAGTCTAGATATAATTCTAGATCTGTGGATATTTGCTTACACTCTTAATATAAATTACCTACCTAATAGTAATTGGTGTGAAATAACAAAAAAAAGTTCAACAAGTCATCTTGCATACAGGAACCATTCAATAAAATTCAACATTATTATTCTGATCATATTTCTTTGTGTTTAAATACATGAATGGGTGATGTTTCTATCATAATTGATACATCAACTGGAATGGCTTATCTCTTTTTTTGGTACTAGGAATTGATCTCACAATTGCCAAAGTGAGCCCAAGGCCAACCTGAACTGCATAGCGAGACCCTCTCAAAAAGACAAAAAAATATTGTAAAGAAAACTTTTACACTTCTGAATTTGTTTAGATTTCTGTTGGTTAAGAGTCAGCACTATCTCCTTTTGATACCTTTTGTTTGAGAAATGAAATTTCTTTCTCTGGAATGGTTTCCGCCATTCTTACTTACCAGCGAAAGGGAGGGATTCTTCTGTGTTCTTACTGCTAAAGCTCCTGATGTGATGAACTGAGAATAGAAAGATGCACATGTAAATACATAGTATTTGCACAGTCACCCAAGAAATTATTGTCAGAACTTCAGTAATTTTTGACATCTATGCAAAGACTATTTACATTTGAGATAAATTGGGCTGAGATACCAAAATCCCCATTGTAAACCTAAGGTCTCCCCTAGGAAAAAAATCACCCAATGATAAATCCAGTGTTTCTTTATAATAGAGCTAGGAAAACTGTTTTTGGATTAATGTAACTCTTGGATTAAGGGCAACAAAAGGGTATTTTCTAACATACTTGGTGTCATAAGCTCTTAATGAACCTATGAGTGGAAAGATAATGGCACAAACACACATGTGCATACACATATGGAACACTTATCAGCTTTAAGGAGATTTTGCTATTTTCTATAATCTGGATGAATCTAGATGACTTTACACTCCGTGAAATGATCTGGAAACAGAAAAATATTCCACGGTCTTGCACTAATTCTGCAATGAATATATGGTACAGACGTCTGATTGACATACCGTATTTTTGGATATTTATCCAGAGAAGGAATTGTTGGAGCAAATGGTAGTTCTATTTTTAACTTTTTGAAGAACACATATACTTTTTTCATAATGAATACATTCCTTCTATTTGCACCAACATTATATACAGATTTCCTTTTATCTATATCCTCACTAACATTTGTTATAATTTTTATTTTTGATAAAATTCACTATAATCTCATTGTTTTAATTTGCATTTCCCTAATGATTAGTAATGCTAAACATTTTTCATGTGTCTGCTTTCACTGAAAAATGTCTATGTTTTTTGTCCATTTCTTAATCATGTTATTCACTTACTAGTGAGCTACTGATGTTTTTGACACATTTTTGATGTCAGCCATTGTCATATATTTGCAAATGTTTTCTTCCAGTCTGCCAGTTATCAGTTCACTGTTGATTGTTTCCTTTGCTTTTTAAGGGCTTTTTGGTTTATGTATTTTTGCTTTTATTGCTTGAGTCTGGAAGTTATTGTTATTTAAAAAACTAATTTTCCAGAACAACATCAAAAAACCTTTCCAGATATGTTTTCTTCTAGTAGTTTTGCAGGTACTGGCTTACACTGTAGTCTACTTTTCTGACCCATTTTGAGGTGGTTTTTCATGAGGTACAAGACAAGGGTCCGATTTCATTTTTCTGCCTCTCAATATCCAGTTGTCTTACTGTCATTGATTTAAGAGATTGTCCTGACCATCATATTACATGATTTTGGCATTTTTGTCAAAGATCAGTTGATTGTAGATGCACAAGTTTATATTTGGGTTCTCTATTCAGTTTCATCAGTGTACATGTCTGTAAATATGCCAGTACCATCTTACTTAGAATTTTGCAGCATACTAGTAAATTTTGAGATTGAGCAATTTTCAGTCTGATGCTCTCAGCTTTGTTCATTTTACTTAAGATTATATTTTCTATTTCAAGTCTTTTTGGTTCCATACAAATTTTAGAATTTTATTCTACTTCCATGAAAAAAAAGTCATTGGAATGTTGGGTCTATAGCTCATTTGGGGCAGTATGGATATTTTTACAATGTTTAGCCTTCCCAACTATGAATATGGGAGGTCTTTCCATTGATTTATGTCTTCTTCAAATTTTAAAAAATTAATGTTTTATAATTTTTCGTGTACAGACCTGTCAGTTGAGTCATCCTTGCCTTCTTGGGATGAATCCTACTCTATCATGGTGTGTGATCCTAGCATTTTAATGTCTGTGTGCATCAAAGGTATTGTTGGAATGTACTTTTTTGTTTGTTTGATTTTGAGACAGGGTCTTCCTGTATAGTTTAGCCTGCCACTTAACTTGCTATTGTAGCCCAGGCTGGCCTCAAACTTGCATCTATCCTCGTGCCTCAGCCTCAGAGTGCTGTGCTTATCAAGCATCACCACCACGTATGGCTTGGAATTTTCTTTTCTTGTTGTAATTTCCTTGAGTTATTCTTTTCTGGATTTGGTATCAGGGTAGTGCTTGTCACACAACATGAATTTAGAAGTATTCACTGTTCTTTGTTTCTTAAGGAGGAGTTTAAAAATTGATATGAATTCTTTATATGTTTGGTAGAATTAACCAGTCAAACAGTGGGATCAGTGCCTTTTCTACGTGGGAGGTTTTTGAGTATGGATTCCATCTCCTAATTCATGTTGTTGTATTCCGATTTTCTATTTCTTTGTGAATCTTTTTTGGTAGATTATATGTTTCTAATCCTGGTGTGTTCTACTCACTGCTGTAACTGAAGTACTTAGTAGAACAGAGAGAGCCTGATACTTAGATATTCAGTAAATGTTTGCTGAATGAACTAAATATAACTTTGTGCAATAGATGTTACTCAGAAGTGGCTGAGAAAATGGAAGAAGGTGGACTATTTCACCATTCTCTGTAAGTCACAATAGAACTCCATTAGAAATCCTTGTTGAACCCTTCCAAATTTCTCTCAGGCCAATGGCATCCTGATCTTCCTTACTTATGCTGAATTACTTTTAAAATTCCTTCTGTGGTTGTGGATTAACTAGTGGGCAACTTGTGACACCTGGCTGAGCTGAATCAGGTGGTTCTGGGTATGCAAAGCCCACCTGAGAATTGTTGCCAACAGCATAAGGGATACGGAGGGGAAGGTGGTGTGCTGTTGAGTTTCCTGGAGAAGCTTGTCATGCTGGTTTTCCTGATATGAACTTGACTGTTACCATTTTTGGAGGGGCTTGGGTCCTTGCTGTCACTGAGGATGGCTGCAGTGCTTTTCAGGGGAGGTCTGGTCCTTATTTTGAGTATTGTGTCCTGGCTCCAGTGCAGATCCCTCAGCCTGCTGATACAGATCTTTCGCCCTGCTGGTGCAGACAGACTTCCTAGCTCCGCGCCCCCCCCACCGACCTTTGGGCCTTCCCAGTGCAGATCCTTGATACAGACTCGAATGAGACATCATTATGGGCTCTAGGCCTCCAATTGGACGCGTGGAGGACATTGTCATGGACTGTAGGTTTTCAGCTGGACTGTACAGGACATTGCTGTGGGACCCAGGCCTTTGGTTGGATTCTTTGGGTCTCTAGTGTGTGGACAGATTTCCCGCACTCTTTTGCATTTGACTCTTCGGGTGAATATTATAAAATAATCCTATGAATTAAGTGTCCTGTATTAAATCTTTCTACTTGTAAACCCTGACTAAAACACTCCAGTAACTTAAGTCCTGGTTCTTGGTTTGTCAGTATACTGGGAAACATGATTTTATAAGTAAGGTGAGCATTCACTAAACATTTGTCTCATGGTTTTTGGGAATCTAATCATTCTTTGGATCCTGACATTCACTCAGCTGAATAGACTTTTTATATGGTAGAAGTAATTTTAAACAGCTTCAAAGATACAAGAATGAATTCATTGACAGGAGGGATTATACTTTTCACAGATGGTATCATTGACACATTGATTGGCTGGATAAGCAGACATTAAACATACCAGTAAATTCATGAATGATTATCAGCAAGATAATTTACTCACACATATGAATGAGACAAATGGGTATCCTGATAGGATGGTTATAGGATGGTAGACTTCTGAAAGTACAGAAATTTGTTGAACATATAAATATAACCAGATGTATCCCAGAGAACAGTGTATTATACCAATCATTATTTGAGCAGCCTGTAAGAAAAGAATGTCATAGTCAGTTACACAGGACATCACATTTTAAGACAGTCACAAATTAGGTGCTGGGAAGGGCATAGGGGAGTTTAGCTTTTATGTTTTGGAATCACCGGGGTCTCTGTTACTACTCTTGTTCAGCCTTAGAAATTACCAAAAAATGGGAAAGAGTCAAGGTGATAGAAGAAGGTAGTAGCCATACAAGGACTTTGAATCTCTACAAGTAACACATACATGGAATATTCGCTAGAGTAATTAGCAACTTGTAGAGGTGTGGTTGTTGTTGTGTACGTGAAAGTGTCTTATATAGCTTATTTCTGGGCCAGAGCAGAAGGACACAGCTAGGAGCCTCCAACTTACAAGGAGAGAGTAATCTGGTGTCCTATCCCTGCTTCGTTTTGTCTGTTTGGTCTTGTATGAATCAACTTCAAGCCTAGCTCTGTTCTCTGACCCATTCCTGCTGTCCATATCCACCAGCGAATGGGACACTGGTTTTTCTTGGATGACATTTTCACTTTAAATGCTGTGGAGTAGGAGGATGCATTTGCAACCAATAACCCTGAATCCTAAGATTCTGACCCCAGTGATCACAGGCAATTTCTTCCTATACTTTATTTTATAGTCCTGGTTTTAGACCTGTCTCAATGCTCCACTAACTAGGATCTGTGATAAGATGGAACATGTGATGTGTGTGGCTGGGGTAAAGAAATGGGAATAATGACTCAGAAGATCTCCTCACCTGAAACAGTGGAGACCCGTGTCAGGAGCATTGTGCTCTGAGGTGAGTGAGGGCCACAGTCCTGATCTAGATTATTTTTTTGATAACAACCCTTGATCTTATCATCTCATTTTTTAACCCAAGTTTAGATTTACTCTCAAACTCTTCATTGATATACAAAAAACAAGGGAAAGTCACAGTGGCAGGATTTCTGGGCCTCAGTTTATTCTTTTTCACTGGTAGTTGAGATAGAAGAATCAATCAGTGTCTTTGATTTTCAGTGTTTGGAACTTGCAACATCAAATCATTTACCGGCTCAAGTGAAACTCAGTCCTTACCCCAACCATTCTGGTTTCTTCTTCCAATACAATGTAGGTCGATGACATATTACTCAGATTATAATGTGACCACTAGAGAAAATGAGTGGAAATTATTTCTGAAAAACAAGAACAATAAAAATAAACATGCTTTTTTCAGACCAAGCACTTAAAGTCACTGGGAGATCTGTTACTGCTTTTTCTAATTTCTCACAATGAAACATTTCCCTGAACTAAATATTTAAAATGGATCCACTGAAATATTCTTTTGGGCATAGCTAACCATTTGACAATTCTGTTAGATTTTGTTCATATGTACCAATTTTAAATGACTTCGTTAAGAGTCCTAGGTGCAGACAGTAGAGTTTGACAGCTGGCTGGCTCAAAAACAGGGATGTGGGTGAGTTCACAGAATCTTAGGAATGGTGAAGCTTGTTACCAATCTCTGATCCAGATGAAGGAACATGGGACCCGAAATCACTGTTCTTGGCCACCACTCACTCCTGTAGGCCAGAGGGTGAGTTTCTGTTTCTATAACCTCTGTGACAAACACCAGGGCACTATCGCCAGGGCACATCTCCAGCCACCGCGAGGATGAGGCTGTGGTGAGAGGGCAGGCACGCAAGCACCTTCCTGACTGGACTTGCTCTGTGGCCCTGGGATCCCCGAGTGGCCTTGGGTTCTCTTCCTGTGAATTTCCCCACGTTTACCCGAGCAGAGGCTGCGCATTTAAACCAGGACCACTGTTGAACGCACACATAGGAATGAGGGGCACACACAGGAATAAGGGGCAATGGGAAGGATTCTTCCGACAGTACCCTGCCGAATTCCCCGGGCTCTTCTCCTCCTAAGAGCTGGGAGGGAGACTGGCTAGGAGATGGTGGGCTTACCTACCCTGGCACGCCCTACTTGCGCTCCAAACACAGTAGCACCGGCCGCCTGCGGGTCCCCACTTCCGCGTTCCAGAGCCCAGCGATTGGTGGAGCCCCCTGCCTGCGTCCCGGACCGCCCACCCCCTCGTCCCTCGCGCCTCCAACGCCCGGCCTGTGGCCGCGCGCACCGCTCTCCGCTCCCACCCGTGACCCCACGGAAGGCGCACCGTGCCGGGATCCCTGAGCCACGGCTCTTCTGCACCGTGCTGAGCACAGCCCCGCCTCACTCCCCTGGTCCTTGCCCTCATGCCCTCTTGCCCTCTTGCTCTGACACCTGCTCTCCAGGGTCTCCAGGTGCGCACTGCCCAGCTGCATCCTGGATCCCTCCTGCTCTGAGGCTTCCAGCAGCTGGCTGCAGGGCCCCCTCCCTCTTCCCCTGCAGACAGCCACTATAGACCACCCAACTTCTGATCCCTAAACCACCTTAACAGATTCACTTTTAGGATGGAGTGTATTACTTCTGTTTCCCCAGAGAACCCTAACCAGTACGCTGGCGTGACAGTTGAGAGGACTGTCAACTTGATGGACCTGGGAGCCACCCACGGGATTAGTGTGTGTGTGGGGTGTGGCTTTGCGTAGTATGAGTCAGTCCCCTTCTTCCTCTCTAGCTGGTTTTCCTGGATCTGCTTCCCTACTGCCAGGAATTGAGGAACTTTGCTTCACTAAGCTTTTCCACCACGATGTGCCAGTCAACTATGGACTGAACCCTCTGAAACCACAGACCAGATACCATCCCCCATCCCTATTCCCATCCCACCTCTGCCGCATTGCAGGTGTTAAGTCTTGTGTTGAGCAATTGGCTTTACCGCCAAGTGTAAAATGCTGTGGAAAGTTTCGTTGTTTCATTTTTTAGTGGAAAATGTCAAGCATGCAGAAAGATATGATGAATTCCATAATCTCACATGGACTCGGAAGCATGCATTCCGGGGGGCGATATTATATGTCCCTTAACGCGAAAAAGTTTTTTTATATAAAAATCATGCTATTATTATAAAATTGACAGCAGTTCCTCAATATTACCTAATACCTGATTCATATTCAAGTTTCCTTTGCACCTCAAACACTTTAGTTGGTTTGTTTAACTACAGGGTCTGCTTATTGCATTTAATTATCTATCAAGTCTTATTAATCTGCCAGTGGATTTTTTTCTTTTAAAAATACTGTATCTGTCATAATTTCTAATAGCTAAATCTTGGAGACAGCCAATATATCCATCAACAGATGAATGTATAAAGAAAAAGGTATTTATACACAATGAAGTACTGCTGTCATAAATAAGGATAAACTTGAGGTATTTGTAGATAAATGGATGTATTTTAATACCACAGTTAAGTAAAATAAATCAGTCACACAAGTTTAAATATTGCCATGCCTTCTTTTATATAAGAAATCTAAAATATAAAAAAAAATAAAGGATAGATAATGGGAAGTAGGGAGACCTTTTTTCAAATAGGACGGGGAAAAGAGATGGGGGAAGATGGGATAAAGGGAAAAAAGACTTTGAAGAGAATCAAACAAAAAAATGAAAACAGAGCTTTTACACATAGGAAGGGAATCAAGAGTTGGAAGGAAGGAGGGGGATGGGAATGGAACAAAACAAAAAAGAATTATGATGCACATGTACAGATTTCCCATAATAAATGTAATCATCATGTATTGCAAAATGTACTAATAAAAATCCATAATTAAAAAAGAAAAAAGCACTGTATGTTACCTGAAAAAACTGTTATTTTTCTTTCTGACTTAATCAAGTTGCCTCTGTTCGGTGTCATTTAACTTGTTTCTCTATCCCCATAATTCTTGTAAAATATTGCTTACATACAAAAGTTTAAGTAGACTTTGAGTCATATTTTCTGGCAAACATTCCACAGTTGGAACTATCTACTTCTTATTGCATTGCACTGGGATGCATATGTTGACTGGTTGCCTCTATTTTGAAGACATTAACATTTAGGTTTTATCCTGATCTATCTATTCAATTCTTGATGGGAATTTTTTTTTCTTTTTTCTTTTTATCGGTACCGGGGATTGAACTCACAACTGCCTGCTTGCAAGGCAGGTACTTAGGCGGCTGAGCTAAATCCCCAGCCCCTTATCTATTCAATTCTTAACTGAATCTATTGATGATCTTTACTTAGACTCATCATTAGGGATTGCATATTAGTACTTTTCTTAATTCTATCAACGTCTATTAGTGCTTCTGAATTTATTGTCTGGTATTTTTTCCTGAAAAGTAACAGTTTTATTGAGGAATTATACTTATCACAGAAATACTTTTTTTATCGGGGCTGGGGATTTAGCTCAGTGGCATAAGCGCCTGCTTGGTGAGCATGTAGTTGTGAGTTCAATCCCTGGTATCACACACAAAAAATACTTTTTTTTATAAGAAAGGCAAAGGAGAAGAAACTTACCTTTTTCTCTCCAACAAGTTATGTTGGGTTTTGAGTCAAGGAAATTAGGTAATTAAAGGAAATAAAAGGCATCAAGATTGGTGAAGGAAGAACCAAAATCTTCATTCATGAGTGGCATGATAGTGTATATGTAAAATTCTGAAGAATTCATGTGTGAAAACTAATAGTCCAGCAAGTCGGTGGAATACAAGAGCAATATACAAAATCAGTTGCATTTCTATATTTCAAAACAAAATAACAAAAAGGAAATTAAAAAACAAATCCATTTATGATAGCATAAAAATATAAAATATCTTAGAGTACATTTAAAAAGTACAAGGCATTTACATTAAAATAGAAAGTGTTTTTGAGGGAAATTGAAGATGTGAGCTAATGGGAAGATATCACATATTGATTGATAAGATCACTGAGTATTTAATGATTGTCAAGATTGGAAAAGCAGTAGTATTTTATACCCATAATGAACTTGCTGAAAAAGAAATCAAGAAATTAATCTTATTCACATTAGCTACAACAAATAAAATATTTAGAAATAAATTTAAAAAAAGTAAAAGATCTTTATAAAGAAAATTATAAAATATTGGTGGAAGAAATTATAGAGAATACACACAAAATGAAAATTCATGGACTGAAAGAATTGTTAAAATAAACATACCACCCTAAATTATCTGTAGATTCTATGAAATTCCCATCAAACTACCAATAAAACTCCTGACAGAAATAGAAAAAAAATCCTAAAATTCATATGGAACCACAAAAGACTAAGTATTCCCAATGCAATGCTGAGGAAAACAAAGTAAAACATAAGAAAACAAAAGAAACAAAAGAAGCTAGAGGCATCATGATATATAACTTCAAAACACACTACAAAGCTATCGTATCCCAAACAATATGGTTCTAAGCATAAAAACAGAGAGATAGCTCAATGGAACAGAATGTAGAAAGTAGACATTATTCCACATTCATGAAGCCAAAAGGATTTTTTGGCAAAGAATCTAAGAACATACAGTAGGAAGAAAAAGGCAGTCTCTTCAATAAATAGTGCTGGCAAAAGTGGATATGCATATAAAGAAGAATGAAAGTAGATCCGTTCATCTTACTATACAAAAATTCAGCTAAATAGATCAAACGCCTCTTGCAGATAATTTGTTTTGGTTTGGGCTGTTTTCCTCTGTAGAATATTCTTTTTTTTTGTATTTTTGATTCAGAACAAAAATAATGCATTTTAGAAATATCATGATAGTTATAATATTTAAGCTATAGAAGTATGAGCTATTTTTTAAAGCAATAATTTCTAAAATTATTTGGAAATAGTAACTGATTTGGACAGTAAAATTTTTTTCCTCAGGTAACTTGAAGTAAAAGTTAATGATCTCAGAAGACACATGAAATTTGGAGCAATATATAGGAAAGCAAACTGATCATACCAGAAAAGGATCTATAATTTTAAAATAATATCTGTCTTACAGTCATGACATATCTTCTCCTGATTTCTCACTAAAATGAGATGGAAACTCTCAATAACACTGAAAACCAGTGCTATTGATGGGATTTGAGGATAATATCCATTAAATGTGAGATTAATGACCAGTCCATACTTTATTTGGTGTGATCCTAAGTATGGTGTGATCCTGGGAAAAAAAAAGAAACGAGGGGAAAGTATTTTATTTATACCTTATTTTCTGATTTATAAGTGGGGAATTGAGAGTCTAAATGATGTTCAAAATGAAATAGCTGCTCTCTCACTCAATTTTAAGTGTCATAAGGATAGGAAATGATCTTCTCTAGTTGACATCTTATAAACAGAATCTCTCATAGTGCTAGGAATATTTTTTGAGTGAATGGATGGAGGTGGCTCGGAAAGGCAGAAACCTAATTAGAGAAACTAACAAAAATTAAAACCAAACAAAGAAATGTTTTTGGGCTAAAATAAAATTGAAGACTCATAGGTTTGAGGCAAAATCAGGAGACTTAAATATAGAGATATTTGGGGATTTTATTTTTAAAATTCTAAGAATAGAGAAAAAAATTGCAAGAACTTAGAAAGGCCCCCCCTTGCCCCCAAAGTTGTCCAGTATGGAAGGATCAGACATCATTGGAGGTTAAGACTGAAAGTTAGCCAAACATAATTTGCCAGGAATAGAAGCAGGCCACGCACTCTCAGAGCTGGCCCACACTCCTGCAAAGGCATTTCTATTACAGAGCAAGTCCTGGCCCAGGCATCACTACATTCTAGGCCCATCTAGTCACAAATTAAGGTTGTTTATTTATAGGAATCATCTGTTTTTTCGTTCTAGCAATAACAGTTGAAAAATACCATTAAAAAACCATCAAGTCCTTAGAAACAAATTGATTGATTGATTGATTGACTGATTGACTGGTTGCAGTGGGCCTGGGGATTATACCCAGGGCCTTGTGTAGCAAGCCACTGAGCTGTATGCCCAGTCTCAAGAACAAATTCATTGAAATGATTATGAGACCCGAACCACGACAACTCTAATCTTCGATAGAAAATGAAAGAAGATCTAGACAATTGGAGACTGCTTATTTTGATGGGAAACTCAGTATTTTTAGATATTAATTAAGCCCAAATTTATCAATGATTCAATC